GGGATATACTAAAATACATCAGATTGCTAAAAAGAGATGTAAAGAGGATATGTGAAGAAAAGGGTTTGATTCCTGATGTTTACAGAGCACAAAGGCCTGCATTCTTATATTCTTAAAATATTTGTGTTTAGTATCAGGTGAGATAACTAGTTTCCTTCAAAACAAAACTCAGATATATTGCCAGTCGATGTGAATTGTGCTGTTTAAATAATTTTTCTGTATTATTTCCTTTTATAAAGCTACCTTAATTTACTGATAAATTTTTGTGTATTCTGTTCTATTTTTTAATTAGAACACTAGATGAGAACACTTTCAATGGATTAAAAAATAATTGGCACTTGTATTTCTTTAAATAAAATACAATTTTTTTTAACACCTAAAAGAAATCAAATTAGGCAGTAGAGAGAATGGTAGTTTTTTGAGCCTAAATATGTTTTGGCGTGAAAGAAGAGATACAACCCTTTATAAGCAAGATAGGAGACGGGTAGAGATGAGTATAGTTGGGATATTTGGGGTTTTTTTGAAAGCCCAGATGATGAAAAAAATGGGTAATAAAAGAATATTGAAGTTAACAGTGCAAATTAGTAATTTAAATGCGTACATCTTCCTGAGGCATGATAGAAAAGGTGAGAATCTTTCTGTGTGCTTGTTATTGGAGGAGTTCTGAATCTGAGTGTAGACTTTTAAACTACTGTAACAGTTAACTGCATGGGCAAACTAATGGTATCTTTTGTCAGAGTATTAATGATAATCGTATTTCTGCCTTCCCCTTCCTTTGTGTGCTAGGATGTGTATGAATATTTATTCCAGGTTATTGGCTGGGGKTTTTTTCCCCTCTATTTGCCTTGATTTTATATGTGTATCTAGTTCCATGGCAATAGGTCAACCCCTCAACTTGGGTAAATACTGAAGTCACTGAGTACCAAAATGGAAGTTTTCTTAGTACCTTTGACTTTCCTCCATGTTAGTTTGATGATTTGTGTTGGGGGTTGTTTGTTTAATTGCTTGTTTTTAAGCCTTCAGTGCTCTTGAAATTTTGTGCAAGTTTTTATGCAACATGAGATATTAATGCTTAGCATCCTTTTACTCTCATACCACACTGAGGTCATGAGCAGAATGTGTTTAAGTCAGTTGATGCATTTAATTATTTCTTGTAGAGAGGAGGTTTGTCTCTGTGCTTGAATATCTAGAGTAGCTGGTTATTATCTTTTACCTGTGATTCTTGAAAAAGACACTGCCAAYGGGAAAGGTTCTCTCAGATTTAGCTACATTAGTGTTACACTTAGCAGTTGTAGGTTAGAATTACTTTTCTCTGATGACTTGCATCAAAAATGTTCAATTGTGTCCATCTTTGTATTTTGTAACTAAGGAAGTAATGAAATAATACTGCATAAGGTAATAGTAAGGCTTTTTTTTTTTTTTCTAACTTTAGGTGAATTTGTGTTTGGTTGGGATTGCTGTATTTAGAGAACCATGGCTTTCAGAATTTTTATTTGAAGGAATGATTCAGAAGGTGTTATGTTTAAGCAGCAGGTAGACAAGGAAATCTTAGTGATTCTACCCTAAGAAAAATGTGAAGCAATGAGGAAGTAGAAAAGCATGGTTTTACTGTTTACATGGACTGTCATGTGTAAATCCCAGCACAGGTGTCTAAATGATTTAGCAAAGCTATTTCCAAGTCTTTCAGTATCTGTATTGAGAAATACCTATCATAGTCTGTAAACCTTAGGATCATAGAATCATTTAGGTTGGAAAAGACATTTAAGATCATTCAGCCCAACTATAAACCTGTGTTTCTCTTGAAAAAAGAAAAAAAAAAACTGGGCCAGACATGTTACTACTCATGCAGGAATTAAATAGAAGGAAACAATCACAACCTTGTAATCCTATGGCCAGCAGCTGGATTACTCTACATTAGTGATTTAATGGAGACCTAAATGTCCTGCAAATCACACTGTGTATTTTTTAGAAAGGTATGCTTTACTTAAGAAATATCAGATGAATAATCAGTTCATTCATTATGGKACATAAGAGTCTTCTGCCCCCAAATGGGAGAGAGAAAAATCATAAAACTCTCTTGTCCAGTTAAATATCTAGCATGACAGCATGTTTGTAAAAATGGTCTTGGCATATATAGAGTCCAAAACCAAAAGGTTTGGGGAGGTGAAGACAGGTTCCTTAAAAGCCACTTCAGGGATTTTGGGATGGGGATTTAACTGACCTTTGTTTCAAAATGAGTGTTACTCTCTTAACCCATTTCCAAAGAATCTTCACTGGAAAATCTCCTGTCAGTAATGCAAATTTTAGAAGAATAGCTAATGACACATATCTTAGGAGCTGCAGTGTATCTGTTTGTTTGTAAATTAAAATGTATTTAATATTAAATTTTCTAATTGGCAAATTTTATTTCTAAACAAAATATTTATCATCGATATGGATTGACTGTATATGTGTATTTAGGCTTCTGTTTTCAATCTGTGTAACTTAATGTCTAAGTAGGTGTTATCTGTCAAGTGTTGAAGCAAGACTCGGATATAAAAATATCCCTTCCTTTCTAAACATAATTTAAAATGTGACATGTGCATGTGTTACATTTGTGTGTGCATATGGATTAACAGATAGTTATAGAAAATATACTRAAATAGCAGGTTTGATTACATGGAAATGGGGTTTGATTAATTACTGCTGTAAAGTGTCCTGGCACTGTGCCAATTCATGAGTGCATTGCTCTAATGGAGTGACAGCTGCTGAGGGGAGGAAGCTGCATCTCAGGCTCAAAGTTGACAGCACAGTAGGAGAAATGGTTGGCTATGATAGTGTGCTTGCGCGGATGTTTTTAAAAACCAGCAAACAAACCCAAATAAATTAATGACAACCCTTCACAAGCAAAGCCCTCACAGCTACAGCTTCCCCCCCGCCCCACTTTCCCCAAAAAACCCATCCAAACCTCAGAAGCCAGTTACTGTTCATTGAGAGCACGGTGATCACAGAGTTTCTTTGTGCATTTTTAGGTGTGTCTTCTCAGAATTAAGCGCTAAGGAAGAGCAGCATGTCTGTGGTTTGGGTGGGGCACCTTAGACTGTGAGTGTTTGATCACCTTCATTTTAAATTAAGTCTCCTTTGGATTGTCAATGTTTTCAAGAGAAAAAATGCCCAGTACTGCTTAGGATATCTGACAGACTAAAGAATGGGTAGTTAGATCTATTAGGTCAGAAGACAGCAGAATGTACTTTTAGTTTTCTGGTCACCTTTGCTGAGAGTTTTGTTTTGCGTGTCATTGAGATGTACGATGAAAGCATCATCTTCCTAGAAAAAATAATCCATTGGGGTTTTTTGAATGTCATTAATGTCTAGAAAAAGTCACAGGGTTTGTCTTGGAAGAACTGTGGATGTTTTAGGTAGCTTGTATACTTTGGAATTGATTAACCTTTACATTAAACTACAGTGTGGAAATTACTTTTCTTGAAACCCATACAGTGCTGAGGCTTATTCAGGCAGGTTCTGTTTTGCAGTACAGTTGTGCATTTCTGCTGAAACTGGTGCAATGGAAATCAGTGTGGCTGTCTTGTATCACAGTGTGGGGTGTTATTCCTTTTCTGAGTCTTGATAAAAGAAATGTTCTACATGTGTGTGCATTTTGTTTAAGTACTTCTATCATTTTGGGGTCAYAGACATTTCTGAGTCAGGGTCAGAGAGCTCTTGTAGCTATGGAGAATGGCAGGTACTTAACCTGGCCTCAGATATATTGAATAAAGAAAAACTGGAATTTACATCTCTAACTGCCTCTTAATAAAWTCCAAATTGAGCTAACATTTGTAATTTTAATCAAGTGATAATTTCTGAACTAATTTTGTCTTTGGCTGGTGACATATTTAATGGTGAAGAGAAATTAACAGAAAGCACCATCTAATTGAAGAAAGGTTTGAAATGTGTTGATAGATTTTTACAAAACACAATAAAGTAAAATAGTCTTCTTAAAAGTGGCATCTGAGTAGGTGTAGGATCTAATTAGTTTATGACAGTAATCTGAATGAACGCTGAACCACTAGAAAAAAGCAAGTAGTGGACCATTTTCAAGCATTGATTCCACCTAGTGGTAAAAAAAAATATTACTGGTTTACATAATACGTATTCAGAATAATGTGAAGTTCCTGTTATATTTGAAGAAAGGGGAAATAAACTATTTKGTAACATTTTCTACACGTGTGCAATACTGCAAAAGCTGTTCAGAGTAGGCAGCTACAATTTGAGYACTTCACTGATACCAACAGGGATGGTTTAGATAATGTTTCAAACATATTTACTCTGTCCAATTAAAAAAATAATTATTTGCACAACTGAGTGAGGGTAATTGGGACCTTTTACAGGTTTTAAAAAGTATTTTTTATGTGTATATACATATCAGGCTTTTGTGGTTTGGGTTTTCTGGAGATTTTTTTTTTTAATCTGTCTTTGGAATAGAAGTTTGAATTCATGTAACATGAAGGGCGTGGATGTGGGTTGGGAATTCCTGGCACAATCATCAGTGGGATTTTGCAACAAACTATTGTGGAGAGATGGACTTGGGGAACACTYACCTGGCAAAATATTGACTTGGCTCAGAATGGATCTGCAGAGTTCATCCTGTGGGCTCAGGGMGAGGGTGATATGTGCTGGGCAGAGGCTGAAGGAAGGCAGGGCTGCTGATTCTGAAGGTGAAACCAGTGTGTGCCAGGCAATAATGACTAYAGAGATGGTTGCTTTGTGTGATGCAATCTGGCAAGAGCAAATGATGCAAACTCCTTTCCTCTGTAAAATATTGCCCAGATATTTTAGCAAATGAAAARCTTGACCACCTCAAATTACAGTGAAGTGTGAAAACATCTTATCCCCAGTTGATGTAGGTCCAGTATAAAAATTASATTTATCCTTGTAGCATCTGTATGTGACAATTAACATGTGAGACAGCAACTCAGCTAATTCTGAYAGATTATATAGATTGTGGTTTTTTTCATTTACAGGTACTTGTTTCACAGTGGCAATCCAGAGCATCCAGGAGACATACTTCTAAACACAACTGTAGAAGTTTTGCCTTTTCAGGTATGAATTTATTGATATGTGTCTTCTCCATTACAGGATAAAAGCAAGTGTCTCTTTATTTTCTTGACTTTTTTTTAACAGGGTGAGTGAGACATAAATGTTTTTAACTGTATGGGGCTTGATGCTCTGATGCTGTCATACTTTTCCTTTTTTTAATTGGATTTGGAAGACTACTGTAACTATTCAGATGCTGATTCAAGGTGCAGTCTGCTGCAAGTGCTGTTGGTAATCTGGAGGTGAACAAGGTCATTTTCTTCCAGTTCACTGGTACTATTTAAAATAAAAAAAAATAAACAGTCTTCCCTCTCCTGTGTATTTTGGGAATCGGGAAACCTAAATCAGCCTGCTTTTTGACTTAGTAAAAAAGTCTTAGTTTGGGGATTGACACACATCCAAACCCACTAGATACTGAAACACATAGGTTCTTAAATGAAAGGTGTACCTTTCCCCTGATTCCTGTTTTTTTTTTTCCCATAAATCAGTCAGTTTTACCAAAAGAGAGCRCTGCACTCTCTAAAGTACATTTTTGTTTGAAGTCAGATGGTATGTGTTCTTTTTCTTTGACTACATATTTCAGCTAACTATTTGTATCACAAAAGTCTGAGAGCATTAATATATTAGACAAGTTTATTTTATTTAATATTAAAATGGCAAAGTATTTCTATCTTCTCCCATATACCTGATGTAGGAATCTTGAAATCTATGCTTAAATTGCCATATGTTGAATTTTTTTTWAACTTTCTCTTTATTTTTTTTCAAAGTAAATAATCATGGAGGAGTTCAAATCTCCATTTTCCCAGTATGCTTTCCTTGGTGCAAGCAAGAAAAATTAGAAAAATTCTAATAGAAAATTCTTATTACCCCCATCCTTTAAAAGAAGTTTGTTAGCTCATTTCTAATTATACATGACATGTAGAATAGTATATCATAAGATCTGAGTTTATTTCTCAAGACCTGTGAAATACATTCAACCACAAAAACAGCAGCAGCCCTCACTTCATCTAAGCCCAAGGTACAAGARTGCACAAGATAATGAGCAAAAATGTGCATTAGGATCTCTTTTTTGGCTTTACTCAGCTGTGAAATGTCTCTCCAACTGGAGCATCCCTTAAGGAAATAATCCTACAAAGGTTCTATTGCTATTGATGCCATTTTTGGAAAAGATAAAAAGAAAATTCTGACTCTGGCCTGTTCCTAAGCCACTGGTATCAGCAGAAAATACTGTCAGTGTGAGGACAGCAGCTCCTCAGGGCCCTGTTTCTCCACCGTGGACTTCAGTAGAGCAAGAAGCCCATTCAGGTAGTTCAACMCTGATCTTCCTTAAGTAGAACTCAGAAAAACAAAAAACCCCAACCCTTACAAACCAGTGTCCCAGACTGGATTTTTCTGGGAGACAAGCAGTATACTAAAGAAACCCTCAAGACAACTAATAACAAAAACTGTCCCAAACCCCTGAAACAACAGCAACAAAAAACTAAATCCAAAACACCTGCCTCCCAAATAAATATAACCAAAAAATCCCTGCCAATCAGCAACCTCACTTCAAAGTAGGAATTTTAAAAAAGAGCTGATTAATTGAATCTCTATTTYGTCAAGCATTTTTAATTAATTCCTGGGAAATTCTTGGAGTGGGTCTTTCAGTATTGGATCATGGTTGTAACTTTTAAGCTGTTTTTCAAGCTCTGTTGTACAATTTTTTTTGTGCTTATTAAAAAAAAACTTCTTGATCCCCATCCTTTTTTAGTGAGGCACTGATAATTACAATGCTTTCCTCACTGGTCTGATGGCTCTCCATCTCACCCAAAGTCTTAGATCAAAAAGTAGGCTGTAAGTTTTCATTTGTCCAAGAGAGAAAGCTCTTGCTCAGCCATGAAAAAAGGCAGGATCCTTTGCTTTTCTCCCGCTGTGTATGCCATTATCTGCTAAATATTCTGTTCACGTGGCAGTTACCATGTGAGTTATGTGGGCCTCTTAGAGTACTTCTTTTTTCTCCTTTGAAGCCAARTACYGTTCAGTTCTGGAACACTGCTGCTCTTTCTAATTTTTTTTTTTTTTTTTGGGCTGGCTTGTCTAAGGCTGTGAATAACTATGTTCCAGGCTGGTTCTTAATTATTTAGAAAATATGGATGCTGAATATATAAGAAGAATGCACACACATTTGTCTTCCTCTGGCAAAGTAATATGCCAAAATAAATGATCTCATTTATGCTTTGTTGTTCTAGAATGAAGAACTGGTATTAAGCAAAGAAACCAAAGACAAACGCTTAGAGGATGGTTACTTCAGGATAGGTATGTAACAGCAAAAAGAAATGTGTTCTGTTATTGCAACAGTTAAAGACATCTTCATTAAAACCAAAACAAACCTAAACCTGAGTTTTGATCRTTCATTTTTGGGTACATGACCCTGTAGGCTTCACTTAACATGGTTGAACTTAACATCAGTTTCAGAGACTGATGTACTAAATAGAGATCTGTTGTGGCTCTTAGTTGTAATGCAGCTACATCCAACTTTTCTGCCAGGATTGATCACCTACGTTATAGTAGTGGCATTTCCAGGTTGTGTAAGATCACCTCTTCTGTCGTGTGACTGCACAAGTGCTTTGGTGTGAGCTGTGTGCTTGGCCTGGATTTGAACCCTCCCTACAGACAATCAGCTGTCTTGTCATAGGATGAGATTGGTACTTCAACAGCCATGTGGCTCTTGGGGAAGGTGCCTGGATACACGTTGTCAAGAAAGAGAGATTTTTCTCATGGATTTTAATTAGTTGCTGGACACAGTTTGGGCAATCCTGTTATAAAGGAAGCACGTTTTTTGTCATCATAAATTACAGTTGTCTATATGATTTAACTGTAAAGTCTAACCGGGCTTTTAAATTGGATTCTTACTCATCCTAATATAATTGAAGATGCTTTAAATAGGAATATGTTACGCATGAATGATATCCCTTGTCCTTAATCCTCCTTGAAAATACATAAGCCAAGGCRTTGTGTGTTCAGTTCCATGGTATTAAATGAATACCTGTGCCAAAATCTTCAGTTTGAGCTGTTAATGCCTTTAGACAGTTTCAAAGCTTTTGTTCTTTTGTGTAATCCTGTTCAGATTGGTGTGCTCTGATGATGTGCTCCATATTGTTTGCTGCTGCAAAACTGGATYCTGTGTCAAAATCACTCACTGCCTTTTGTTTTGGGAATGATACTGGTTTCACCTGTGAATTGTGCTACTACAGATATATTTTCCAGACACAGATTTTGTATTTCAATGTGTTGAACAGGACTTAACTGAGGATGTACTTTTGTTTCTTTTGCAGGGAAGTTTGAAAACGGTGTAGCTGAAGGAACAGTTGACCCCAGCCTAAATCCTATTTCATCATTCCGGCTTTCAGTGATACAAAATTCAGCCGTTTGGGCAATTCTGAATGAGGTAAGAGGTGGTAGAATGTTAAAAGCATAACCAGCAAATGGGTAATTTCCTCATTCAGTTTTGAAGCTCAGAATTTGGCTAACACTAAAACAGTTACCTCTTACTACTGAGAAATGTAATACACTAAACTGTGACTCATTTTTTCTGATTCTCTATTTCAGATTCATATTAAAAAGATTACAAACTGATCACGGAAATCTGCTTTAGAGGAAAATGAAAGAATCCTTGAAAACTCTTCCTATAAAATATGACATCCTTAACAAGTCACAAATTGAATATACTGAGCATGCACCTTATTCCAAATGTCATTCTTTTTCACTTGAACTCTACCTCTTGTGAAACCTACTGTAGATGAGAAGATTGTATTTACCCCTTCTTATCTGATCCATCCAGAAACTGATGCTCCACACTGATAATGTTCGTCCGAGGCCCAAGTTGTCCTCCACTGTAATGTGACTTTACCACCTTATGGTTACGGAACCCTGCTACACTTAACCTGTACTATTTTGATAGTATAGTAATATAAAGTTGTACATATTGTTACATTCCTTGAAGAAGAAAAAAATATAATTATTGTTAAATAAGTTTTATGAAGGGGGTACTTTCGGAGTTCCATTTATTTTCTATAAAAAGAACCCTCTTTTATAGACTGTCAGGGATATATATTAAAAATGTTAGGGATATTTAATTTATTAAAATAATTTGAAAAGTACATATTTTTATGCAGTAAAATTTTAAATTGATATAGTTTTTTTATGAATTCTCTAGTTTAAGTTATCTTTCTACATTTTCCTTTGGAGATGCAAACATAAATTAATACCATATTTCAAATATACTGCCATGTTTAAAAAAACAAGATTAAGTTTCTAAATTATGTAGTTTTATACACAGAATCTGAATGATGTTCAGAGACATAAACAGAGTTCTGAAGAGTGTTATTCTTTGGGGCTATGAAATTCCACTATGTACAGTTTGTAGCCACATGAAAAGCATGTTGAAATGTCTTGTTTCATATTATGTACTAAATCCGCAGTGATTTTAGATTGAATCCATTGCATTTTAGAAGAATTTTTTTTAATTCCAAATCAGTTCTTTCTAAAAATATTTGTAAACATTTCCTAGGCTGAACAAATTCATTTTCTGTACTGAGAAAAAATCATTCTCCAGCTTTGCTTTGGAGTGACAAGAAGTTACCTTTTATCAAAAGAATGAACAGTAGATACATTTGATCTACAGAGTTCTCCTTTTAAAAAGTTCTGTTATTGCAGTGTTTATTTTGGATACATTAGCGAGTAGTTACATTTTATTTTCTTCCTTTGTTCAAGAACCAGGTCTTAGTTTGACTCCTTTATGGATCAGTATGGTAATTCGCACTAACTTTATAGCAGGAACTAAATTTGGCCTCAAGTTTGTACCCTGCCTTTTCGTTCCAAGGGAAACAGCAGCAATCCTAAATTAATCAGAAATTCGGTCAGGGACAGAATGTGGTTTGGATTACATCCAGAGTGGAATTGTTGCAGTACTAATGCTACTACTTTACTGAACASCTTCTGCTTAGGTGCTTATAGGTCCTTAGGTGTAAGGACTCAGGCACAGGAAGATTTCAGTTAGTCAGAAATGGCCAGGAGAAAGAGAGGCAGGAATTCCTTCCTTTAATAGGAATGAAATGCCTGATTGACATTGGAGGGAGGCATCCACCCTGGCTTGGGGATTCTCAGTTGTGCTGTGAAGCAGACATCTCCAAAGCTGGCCAGCTTTCCYCGTGGAAAAAACCCACACTCTACTATCCCTGACATAGAATCATAGAATCAATTAAGTTGGAAAAGACCTTTAATGTCTTTGTGATCAGGGCACAGATGCACAAAATCTGTTGCTGGTTCCCCGACCTAGAGCAGGGATCTTGAATTTGAACTTTCACATCAAAGTTCAGCTGACAGATTTGGCCTCTCTTTCATGATATCTTTATAAGGAGCAGGARCCTAAACCTGACTCTCCAGCACTGCAAGCCCTCACCACTAGCTTATAGAGTCAACCTGTCCTCTCTTCTGCCTTGCTGGAGAATTGTGATGTAGCTTTGACACTTCACCAGTATTCAAGTTGAAGAACTTAACTACTTCTACAGGCTGTTGTTGTTTTGGTTTAGCTATGCTGTCCAGGGACACAGGGAAGACAAGATTTTTATGCAGAGGKAAGACCTGTTTAGACTGACTGGTGTAAGTTCAAGAAAAGTTAGATACCAGGCAGACATTGTTTACTTTTCCTGTTTGAATCAGGTGGTGTAAATAAAATGTTACTTGGAGAGCTTGTATTGCCCGTAGAGACTGTGGGCATCAGGTAAGCACCAGTCACACAAATGGAGTTTATTCTTGGATTTAGGAATGTGGATGACCAGGYTCTGAATCCTGTGTGACTCCAGCCTGTTGTGCTGGTACAGCCCTGTTTGTTTCCTGTATAATGCTCTGCTATCAAATTACCAATATGCCATGGGTTTTTATCACACATTAACTAGCAAAGGTCTGAGAAAGTATTTAGGTTTTCTTCTCAGCTGCATCTGTGAACAAATGATGCAAATTATTTAAACTAGGGTTATTTATTACAATTCAGAGTGCAGAATTCTATATGTTAGATACTGCAGTTTCTTTAATTTGTTTTGCTGACAGTGACCTTTTCCATTTTTTCCATAAGTCCAGAATTTTACTGGTAGCACTTATTTAAGAAAGCTGTGTGCTTATTCTCAAAGCATCACTGTTCCTGATGTTTCACAGTAGTTAAGATGAATCATTGCTAATATATTAAATACATAGAACCCCTATCATTGATTGCAAGACTCTGGTTAGTAGTATATTTAGTTTTCAAAAATGTTGAGAAGAAATTTATCCAAGACCACAAATGAACTAGTGTGTGGTAAAATGTGGGTTGTYTTCTAAAGATTGGTGCATTTTTATTACATTGTAGTAGCAGGAGTTGAAAATACTCTGGGCTGCTTTAGTACTTTCAGTGTTCCTGAGCTTAGAGGCTCGCTAGATAAATGTGCCACATTAATACAAATTATATTTCACAGATGCAGGTAAATTCAAGAGCTGGTGTAATCAGGTAGTTCTGCAAATTTGCTTGGAAATTTTATTGAGAAATAGAAAAAGCAAGGAAAATATTTTCTATCTTAATTATTTCTGCAGACAGCTATTTTGGGCCTTGTACCTTTAAATAACAATTCTTGAGTCAAGCTAAAGTGGTGCAAGTGTACTTCCTGCAAGTCTGATGAAGTAACAGTTGGGCTGTTTGGCTCATCAGCCTTCAGCTTGGGCACTCTTTGTGACTGGGTCTACACCAGTGGGGCCAGTGTCTYGTGCACGTCTCCATTTTCAGTGACAGTATTACCAGATCTTAAACAGCATCCTAAACCTATTACCTGTTTTTGGGGAGTTTTTCCCTACATGTATTCAATTTCAATTTATTTTTCTTGTGGCCTTAAAAATCCCCTCTAGGCTGCTGAATCTTAGAGTTATCCAATAATGGAAAATATTTAAAAATGAACTGCACTATCCTATGCTCCTGTTAGCTCCTTCCAATGCTGTTCAAGATTCAGAATAGCCCACTTGCGTGAAACCAAAGGCATGGCCAGAAACCTTCATTATCTGGGCAAATTATTCYTAACTTCTTATACTGGATGCCAAACAGACTGGCTGATGCAAACACTGGCTTTTCTGAGTTGATCAGGATTGCTTGGGACCAAGAAAACACAAGACTGTCAGTATAATCTTGTTTTGCTCACTCAGTGGGTCATCTTGCTGAAAACTTTGTAAATAATGTGAACAGAATGTGATAATTAAAAAGTGTTTCTAAAGCACTGTATAAGGCTTTGAGCTTTTGCGGGCATCTCAACCACATGTTTTCATTAATGGAAAAATTTCTTATATATTTTTTTTTCTGTACTTAAAGATGGCTTAGAAAAATTCAGATAGATGTGATTAATGGACCAAGAAAAGACTGGAGTCTTCTATCCTATCAGTGCTTGTCTAGCTGTTTCAAGGCAGTTTTTAAATACCTTGAGTCAGTTTGGAGCAAAGCAATTTATACTTTGCCCATGTGAAACAGTTCCCTGAATGAGTTGAAGTGTAATTAGTCTTTGGAAAAATTGAACAACTGTGTAACAGTTTCCTTTTTTTTTGTTTTCAAATACATTATAATTTCAGTAATCTCTGTATTTTGTTGGAAATACTTGCTACAGATGAAGTATCATAGTAATTTGTAGTTTTCCTCCAACTTGTAAAGTATTTTAGTCTTGTGGGGGAAAAGAAGAATGAAATATTTTCAAACCTTGCTTCTGTAAAATACATGAACCCAAGGTTCTATATTTATTCTTACTCGGAAGCATGCATTGTGAAAAAGCTAGAACAAGTAACTGTAGCTAGAAAGAGGAAAAAAAATTCCTTGTGTATTTAAATCATCTTTACAATCACCAGCATAAGGCTGAAAAGCTATTAAACAACTGRTGTTTTCAGGCTAGCATTGATTGCTGATGTAAAACACATCCCATGGAGACTTGGTGAATTAGTCCTTGAGTGTCACTTTTCTGACCTTAATGGTCTCTGAAGGGTATTGCTAATTTCTGCTGTAAACAGTGAGCTGCTGGAAGTTAAAGTAGCTTAATTTTGAGAATGATGCAGCCTTCTTTCAAATGGAAAAACTTTGCTATCTCTAAAGGGAAGGTGCACAGGCCCCAAGTCCTTCAGTGGTATTGCACCACAGGGCACTAAATATGAAGTATTTTTACTGTTGAACTGAAGTAGTTGATCACTGATGCTAGGATTCCTGTTAGGGAAAAAGTGTGCTGTTAGGCTGCAGCTGCCTGCAGGACGGGAGCTTGTGCTGTTAGCCAGGGAGGTAGCAGATCCTGACTGGAATCCTTCACTTTCCATGGATCAGCAGTTCAGTGCTTTCCTTYGTTTAAAGGAGAACGTTGCTCAGCATCTGCTGAGAGGAAAATATGAATCTCTTCAAGCCTTAACAGTGGCTGAAACACACAGTACTGTAAGATGCACTGCCAGCATATTTGGTATTTTAAGATAAATTATAGTTTTTCCTTAGAGATCAAATTCTAGTATTGAAATTGTCTTACTGTAACCAGTTTACTCTTGTGTTGTTTTGGAAACTGAATCCTAGTGCTCATGTTTCATGCTGAACACTGCATTGGAAAGCTGTCACTTTCACTTTCCATAAGGTATTGTTTGTGACGGTCAGTTTATACTCCTGCCTTGTGGACTTTACAGCTGCAGGCATTGCCATGAACCCACCCACACTTGTAGYCAAACTAACTTGTACTTTTCCTTCCATGTTCATTGACCTGCCACTCAGAATGGTGGCTGTAGTAATACCCACTGGACTGCTAGAGATTGGGTTTAAAACTTGCTGCTATCTTTGGAAACCTGATATGGGTCATGTTAATTGTGCCTTTCATCACTGTTTCTTCTGTGTGCCAGAGTTGTCCTTGTATATTTGAAGTAGTCATTAAAATAAAGCTGTTCTCACGCTCTTTCATACAAGGAGAGGACAGATCTGTATCTAGAGACAGTTGTTGCTTTACCATCGCAACACTATTAAGATCTGTATTTTCACACAGTCCCAAGGCAAGGTATTCCAATATTACTCTTCAATAAAACAGTTTTTTGGTGTCACTTAAGCCCCTCATAATGTAGAGCTTATGCCAGTATGTGCAAAGTATCTGCAGTAAGAGTTAYGCTACATAGACTTGTTGCAGTTAAATTTAAGCTACAGAAATGTACAAGTAACTTGTTTTTAGGAATGTACTGCGAAAATATTTGAACAAAATTGCTAACATGTTTACTGTTGTAAATATTTTAATAAAAAAGGACACTTCAAACTTTTTTACACAATTATCTACAATAAAGAGAAATTTACAACCATTTACAAAACGTTCTTAACTTTTTCTTTACTGTCAAAATGGCTGAAGTAGAAACAAAATAAACATTACATACATGAAGTCCTGGTTTTATTTCACTCTGTATTTATAAAAGGAACAAAGCATCTTGGTGAAGTTCCATCCACAAGCTAATGAGATCAAATAGAGCATGATGAGAAGTGCAAATGGATACAAAAGAATAGCTGTGTTCTTCAAAAAGGGCAATGCTGAAACAGAAACAATATTGAAGCAAGTATAAAGTAGTGCTCTTTAAAAATGGTGCTTCATGTAGAGTAGCCTTGGGGCAAGGCAACAAAAAATAGTTCTACAATACTCTCCTGTCCTCCTCAGACATCTCTGTGCTACTAATCCTACTGTTATAATGGCTTGGGGAACWGTTTTACCCAAAACTATGGTCTTGGGTAAAACTCATTACAGAATTTTTATCTAATGCTAACCTCTTGAAGTGGATTTACAGAGGAACAAGAAAACCAAGTTGTGGTACTACAGGTCTAATACAAGACTGGAATTTGGTGAGGTGGAGAATATAAATTGTTTGGTTAAAAKGTCCACCCAGCTGAAAACATGGATTGGTTTCTATCAAACTGCATTTCCCACAAAGAAAGACTTSAACACTCAGCTGAGCCTCTGCTTTACAAATACTAGGCTAAGATCAAATTAATAGACTGAAAACATGCTTTTCTTTTTAGTCAAACAAATAAAAAGAAGTTGCTTTTACTCACCACTGTATCCTAGGAATGTCACGTAGATGTAATAGCCGATTGCAATCAGCCATAATGTATTCCCAACAAAATATCCAATGACAGAATCAGATATGATGACATCTGCAAGAGATAACTGCTCTCAGCTGTTTTGACAGTGCACCATTTTGAAGCACAGAGCTCAAAGTATTCTACTTACAGTTGATGAAGAACAGCTGGATAAAATGCAGAATGACTAGAAGTGGGTAGAAAGCATTCAGATGCACATCAAAGGCATATCCCCACTCCACATCATAATCTCTGTTCGGCTGCTTCACTAAGTATTTATTTGAAATGAACCTACATGAAAAGATTTTTGATACTGTTGGTAATATGAATCTATAAAACTCACAACACATAGGTTTGAAATACTAAGTCAAATGTGATCCCAACTCTCCACCCCAGAATTTCTGCTATCTGGGAGAAAAAACATGCAGGAATCATACAGACTAGACTATYGTTAAAATGGTTTTGTTGAAACTATCATTGCATCCCCTGCATGCTACAGGCAGCTGAAATACTCTGCAGGTATTTCAAAACAGAAACAAAACTCTTCTTTATAAGAAAGAGATCAATACTACAATTTATCAGTGCAGCCACAAGCTGCCACTTCTGTCTGTACACAYAGGGAGATAACTTCAGTGAAGTGGTGGTACAAGAGCAGCATACCTCATAGAGAGATGGTTTATTTAATCTCTGCAGAACAGATGCACTGCAAGGACAGGAGGAGGGCAGAAGAGCGTTCATAATGTCCCTMTACTTACTGAAAAGATGTACAAATGCAACATGCACTGCCTGGTATTAAAGGCTATCGAATGAGCCTTGAGACTCTTTCCTTTAGCTTAAGTTCTGCTGACATCAAAAAATTTATCCCATTTAGAAAAGGAACAAAAAGGCAATATATGTTCAGAAATAAGAGACCCAAGTTTTCATGGAAGCCTCCTCTGAGCTATTCTTTGTGCCAAGGTTGGGGTTGCAAAGAGGCAGAGCCTGGGTGCAAGGTGAGGAGAAGTGAGACAAGAAGGAGTTTAGATTCATTAGGAATGGGGGAGTTTTGCAGAAAAAGGTGAGCCTGCACTGGAAGAAGGGACTTGAACCAAACTGGAGCCAGGTGACTGGTATTGAGGCCTGCAGGAAGCTGAATAAAAGACAGAGGAAARTCAGCAGATGCTGAAGTATTCCTGGTTTACAAGACTGTATCCTAAGGCACAAATTGCTGGAGGATGGGGCCAGGGAACATTACTATAAGCTCTTCCCCAAGCAATTTATGGGTTGCTCCAGACAGGAGTACTAGGGCAGGTGGACCTTTCATCCATCAGCTACATTTCTTTTATATGCCTCATTCTCAATTTTGCAATTACAAGCAGGGGTTCTTGATGTCACTGTTAGGATTTATCCCTTTTCCAATCATCATCACTTTAGGATGCTAACTCTTAAGATTTAAGATGTTAGCTCCACTATTAAGAACTCTTATATGCCCTTGCTTTCTAAAGTTCCTTGTAAAATAAAAATTCTTTCTTTGGTGCCCTCCCCTTGCAGCAGCACAGGAACAGCAGTTTCCCATCATTTCATGGTTCCATCACTGTTGCAGGACACATCTATGCTRTTGATGAGGCCTGGGTTGTAAAGTGACCTGCTCCTGCCTCTCCACTTCTACAAGTCTCTGGACAATAGAGGATAAAACTGGCAGCAACTACCAACAAAGGAAAAAGCTGCCAAGCACAGAACAGTTGTTTTTAGGGCATCATTTTGAAACAATTATGACAGCAGCATAAAACCTATAGACAATACTTTCTTACAAGTTTACCCCAAACAAAAAACCCCAAACAACAAACAAGTGTCTCAAAAACAGCAGAGGACTCTCTGTGTCTGAACAGCAATAYTGAACTCGGCTTCCAAATTCACCACTTACCACATTAGAGTTGCAATCAGGAGSCCAACGCCCACGCAGTCTATGAATACAACCCAAAGTAGCAGTTTTATTGTTTCAAAAAATCCCATGTCCAGTACAAATCCAAACCCTACGGTAGACACTGAAAGCAGAAAAAGATTATTAAAGTCGGCTGTGGGAAAAAACCCATGAGATCTGATGGGTCTGACACTGATGGGGTTTTTTTGAGTATACTGTTAAGAAATCTCCAGTTTCCTTTTTATTTTTCTCCCARGATTTTCAGTCCAACAGCTCTTTTTTTCCTCACAAAAAAATAGATATAATGCAATTTATTCATAATTTAATCCCTGTCACAGATTGAACACTCATATGTACTTGGGTCTAACTGTAATGCTCCACCCAAAGTGTTTTTTTTAACTTTGCACAATGCTACAATAGAACATTCTTTGTTTTAGAAAGGCTCCTTGTTAACCCAAACCATGTGTGTAATTCTATTTCAGTTGAGTTCTTCTACTGTGAACAGCAATACACTATTTAATAGACGGCAGCTAAGATAATACTTACTGAATTTGCAGTTCAGTTATTTATATGAGCCACTCTTTTATAGCTTAATTTGGCAATATACAGAATCTCAYCAGGGCCTTAATTATAAAAAGTGTTTCATACATGATATTCAGGTAAACCAAATAGTCAGTATTTCTTAACAAAAACATTGCCATGTGCCATGGGGTTTTCTTACTGTGTAAAGTTACAGTGAATTATGCAGTTTAAAATACAACAGAAAAAGAGGTGCAACAGAGAGTTCTACAAGTTCTACTCAAGACTACAGAGTACTACCTAAGCCTACTCTGATTTCTAATTCCCTTAACTTCAGAAAGGCTGGGCCTTTTTCTTATGTGCTAATTTGATTAAAAGATTATCCATACAGATCGATCCTTTTTGTGTGTTTGCTATCAGAAGGAARATAAATGTTCATCCCTAAACTTTCCCTCCCTCTTCCTTATGCTGTTCTCCTGCACTCACCACAAAGCCAGATACTGAGCAGCACGAGGAAAGCGGGATCATCTCTCGCCCACTGGTCCTTTGTCTGTTTTCTGTAGTGAAAGTTCCTATAAACCCTCTGCGGTGAAGTGAACAGGTAAAGCATCTGCCAAAGCGCAAACTCGAAGTCCATCTGTCGGAAGTGGAAGAGCCTCCGCAGGTACTTGTAGCGTTTCGCTCCGGCTGTGTGCCTTGCAGCATCTCTGGGGCTCAGYACACCATTGCCCTGGCTCCCAGAATTAACCAATGTGGTTGGCAACATCTTGCTAAAGAAAGAATTTCAAAAGATGCATTTTCTTTTGCACATAATAAAGGCTACAAATAAAATCACGCGATGCAGGCCACGTCTGCAATGCTGAGGTGACAAAAACTGAGCGCAAGTATAAACAATGACATTTGTTGGAGCAGGTCCAGAGGAAGCCATGGAGTTGGTGAGAGGGCTGGAGAACCTCCCTTATGGAGACAGGCTGAGAAAGTTGGGGCTGTTCAGCCTGGAGAAGGTTGTGTGAAGACCTCCTAGCACCTCCCAGTATTTGAAAGGGGAAAATAAGGAAGCTAGGACACTTCATCSGGAACTGYATTGATAGGACAAGGWGTAAYGCGTACAAACTGAAAGAGGGGAAATTTAGGTTAGATATAAAAAAGAAATTCGTTACTGTGGGGGTGGTGAGACACTGGCACAGACCGCCCAGGGAGGATGTAGATGCCCCAACCCTGGCAGTGTTCAAGGCCAGGTTGGATGGGGCTTAGAACAACCTGGTCTAGTGGGAGATATCCCTGCTCACGGCGGGGGAGTTGGTGCAAGATGATCTKTACGGTYCCTTCYAGCCTTTAACAGTGCACAAATCGATGCTTTAGGGCCRGCCCGGCCGTCGCTGCTGACCAACACCCGTCCCCCGGAGCGGGGCCCGCACCCAGCCCCGGGCCGGGCAGCGCCGCACCCCCGAGCCCCGCGCCGCGCTGAGGGTCTCACCTGCTGCCCCGGCCCGCGGCGCGACCCCCGCCCCGCCCGGCACCGCCACCAGGGCCGCCGCCCGCAGCCTTCCGCCACCGTCCGCGGCGCAGGCGCCCGGGATCCTTCCCGGAGCCGCCCCGTCCCTTCCTGCCCCCGCCGGAAGCGGCCGCGGCGCCCGGCATGGCGGTGGCGGTCGGCGGTGGCCGCAGGGCGGGCGGCAGCAGCGGGGCGTAGCGCAGGGCTCGCCGCCATGCCCAAGTACTACGAGGAGAAGGAGGAGGACGGGCGCGCCTGCGGCGGCGTGAGGGAGGATCTGCGGCAGTGCCTGCTGGAGAGCCCCTGCGTGCTGCAGGTGAGCGCGGCCGCCCTCCCGGGACAGACAGCTTCCCTTCCCCAGCTTCTTAGCTCGYGGTTGTAGCTGCTTAGGCAATTACAGATCAGAGGAGAGCGCAGGTCACCGTACCGAAGTGAAATCCTCAGTAAACTTCCTCTGAAGCTGGAACTAAATGATCCTCAAAGGCCTCTTCCAAGCCAAATGAGCTCAGTTGGCCAGAGCGTGGTGCTAGTAACGCCAAGGTCGTGGGTCCGATCGCTGCGYTGGCCTTCCCTTAAGAGTTGGACTCGATGATCCTTGAGGGTGCCTTCCAACTCAGAATATTGGTGATTCTGTTCTATGATTCTGTGAAGTATTTTGATGTCTCTGACGCGCTGCAGAAATAAAATTTTTAATCCTTTCTTATTTCATCTACTAGGAAAAGAAAAGCCCTAAACAGTGCTTGAGGGAAGGACACTGTAGGAGTTTGCAAGTGACTTTCTTTGCATGCAAAAGATCAATGGTAAGTGGTGGTGTGTCTTCTCCCTGCTTGGATGTTTTCTGTCCTTTTCCCCCTCTTCAGAAGAAAACCACTTGAATTCAGTAAGGCAAGTGTCATTACGCAGAACAGGTCTTGCCTTTGAATCCTCATTAAAATATGGTACCAATTTTTCATGAAGAAGCAGCTKTAGAATAGGAGAAATTGGAAGAGTACATGTTTAAATTCAATTAGGCTTAGAATGTAGCAGGCAAGTAGGGTAGGTATTTTCACTATTGTTTTTAGTTTCAGTTTAAAAAAATATTAGTAGATCAGGTAATTGTAAGATAAAATATTGACATACTTTTTGCTTGTATGGTCATTCAAAAACATCTATATGAAGAACATTTAAAGGAAAGAAAATGAGACTTTCACTGTAGAAGCAGGATCTTGCATTGAATTCACATTGAGTCATTAATTTTCTTGAAGTACTAAAATTCATGATGAATAATAGTTTGTTTTTTTATATAATGAACTATCCYATATGATAATGGCAAGTAATTTTAAAAAATGTAATTAAAGTTTTCCCTATTTTGATAGGAGTTCCTTGTCCAGAATTGTTTTGCTTGTGTTTCCATGGCATTTAAAACGTATCTAAGATGCAGTAAAATGGATCAAAACTTTCTAAGCATGAGAAGTGCAGTGCTCATTTTTTTTTTAGCTGGTGTGATACATAATGAAGAATGTACAGCTAAAACAGTACCTAAAATTTTTCTTCTGCTTTCTATTAGTCATAGCAGCTTTTTGTACCTCTCCTGTATAAACCATATTAATCCATAAAATKACAAATTATTGTTTCTGTGCACAGGAAAAATGCTGTATATTGAAAGTTTGAAATACCTATATAATGCTGCAATAGCAGCATACATATCTCCAGGTGATGTGCCTGTATTTTTCTGTGGATTGTGTTAACAATCTGTGGATTTTTTAAGGGACCCTGATGAAACTAAGTTTCTAGTTAAATGTCTCCAGTTCATGCAGGATGATGCCTGGCTCTTAAATGATTTTATTTAACTGTCCCAAATTTTAAAGCTGATGAGTGATCTTTTTCTTGTCCTGTTAATTCTGTACATTTCAATWATCATGCTCTGTCAAATTTTTTATTTGTTCTAATAGTGAAGCTTAAAGAGTGTCCAAATTAGACACTAAATGCAGATATAATTTACAGTATGCTAAAATCATCAGGGGTTTTGCCTAGATGCTGTTTTCAAGGAAAGAGAAAGTCTTATCAAAGGAGTAAACTTTAGTATGTTTAGATATTAAAGCTTGGCCGAGGTTTAAAGTGAAAGCTGCTTGGTTTTTGGACAAGCTGTGTCATCGTGAGTCTAGCTCTTTACAAATTTTGCTGCAGTTCTGAATTCTGGAAGAAAGTTAGTTAATGGATGTAGAAGGAACCTCCTCAATCTAATATCTGAATATGGCTGAGTTGCAGTCTGTCACTGCCATCTTCATGACTGGTTATCTAAATTCAGAAGAATTCTCCCAAGGTCAAAGTATGGTTTTTTTCTGCATTGGGAAAGAACTTACAGTTTAGCTTCTGTAAGTACTGCACGGTGGCATTTATTTTATCTTTACCATCATCTTCAGCCATTCATTAAATGCTTTTTTTTTTGTAATTACCAAGAATAAACTTGCAGATTTTACAGGCTAAATATTATTTCAGTTTTTACTAATTTATTTCTATTTTTTCCAGAAACTTTGTGTATTTAAGTTATGCCTCTTCTCATGGACATTGGCTATGACTCCCACTTCAACCAAATCTGAATTTTCCTCCTTCAGTTTAACAGTTAAATTTGCAAAACTGGTCTAAAGCAGATTTACCTTGTTTTCATGTGTCCATTGCCGTCCCACTRTGTTGTTCTGTCATTTATGTTGTTGTTTATTTCAGAATGCACGGGAAGCTTGTGACATAATTTTAGTTTTGTGTGAGGTTGAAGATTTTATAATGTGTCTTTCATCAGAATCCCCTGTGGCTTGTTGGCTACATCACTACTTTTCTTCTGCTTTATTCTGGTCTTTGTTCTGATGTTAGAGAGTGCCAAGGTAGCACAAACACTCTACAATATTTCTTTTGCAAAATACCTGCTCTTAATATATTGACTTMAATTTTCAGTTGGATACCAGGGCAAGATTCAGAGGAAGGAAGGGGTACTGAAGTCCTCATCAAGAGACCTAGCCATGGGAATTTAGGATTCATCAGCACTCTACACAAAAGCAGAGACTAAAGTAAGAAGATGGTACCTGCTGCATCCTTTCATGYGGTGTTTTCATGGAAGGTATCTACTCCTGAGCATTCTGACAGATTGACTTGAATGTCAAAAAGAAGGCAAGCATAAAGCTGCAAGTTCTGGCCAAAATGGGTGCTTGTCATGTATTTGCAATAAAAATGTGAAATCCAGAACAAGCTGCAGAAGTTATTCTGTTTTGAGGTTGTCTTTTGTGACTTAACTGTAAATTCTGGTAATCTTTTACTATTAGAAATAATACAGGATATGGAACTGGGARTTCACTTGATGTGTTGAGGAGTTACCTTAGTAGACATATATCCCAGAGAGTTTGTCAGAATAGAACTATTTTCAGAGATGAGGAATTGACCAAGGTTGTAAAATGTGTGTGCAAGCTGCTTCCTCTACAGTAGGTTTGCTACCCAATAAACCTGTACTAAAGATGGGAGTGGTGATGTTTTTCAGTCCCACACTGGTAGGGAAGTGGGATTTATAAGAATAAGAAGCATTAAGTAGTGCTTATACCATGACTGTGGTCAGTATTAATTGGTTCTATAKAAGAACTCTTTATCCAGAGGAGCATTTTTTTCTATTCCTTCAGAATCAAGACCTCTACAGGCCTGTATTAAATAAATGATAATGTAACTCTTGCGCGTAAAAGCTCAAATAACTTCAGACAAGCTGATTAGAAACAAGGTTAGGAAATAGTGAGAGGGGAGAGGACTGTAGTAACTTCTTTTCTTGGCTGAAGCTTATAGCCAAGTGTCTGATTTACATTCAGTCTGAACAGATGCATGCAACACTTATTGTTTCTAAAATTGATGACTTCAGTGAATGAGCACATGTTGACTGTTTAATTCTGTCTTCTTAAGCAACTGTTCTCTAATGAGTCAGAGAATGTTTATATTCCTTGTATGTGTAGGACTTTATTTTTGCCCTCTAAATCAACACTGATTTCACATTTTCATGTTCTGTTGCTCATGTGGAAGCTAGTTCTGTAAGCATCCTTTGTTTTCCACATTATCTCTACATATTAGAGATATTTGTTATCTCTAACATATTACCATATTATCTCTACATACACTAAAATGGTATTTGATGTCTATAAGAGTATTTTTAACTTAACACTCTAATTTCAAAGTATTACTCACAAGCCTCTTCCATGGGAAAAAAAATTTGAAAAGATACTAAAAATAAATATAAAGCCAYATGGCAGGTATTTGAAGTCAGTTAGAGAGGAGGGTGGGAATGGTATGTGGGTTTGTTATCAAGGACTTTTCCATAATCTGCCCTACTGCAGGGGTTTATAGGTTGATGCTTCAAGTGATCATTATTCCTTTCTCAACCATGATCACTAAACCTCACTAATGCTGCAGTAGAAGGGAGCAGAAAGATTGCTACATTTTAAACAGTTATTTTTTGTAATCAACTTGATCCAGTGGAGATCAAGTGTTAAAATTAGATCTATTGGTTATTTAAGAATTTAAAAATTGACAGAATACATATATTATTTGATCCAATAGAATGTTAGTGTCAAAACATCCTAATGGTTCACTAAACTACCTAGGACAGTGTRAAAATACTGTAATAGGTAACGAAATACTGATTTGGTCGAGACTATTATTCAATTCCAATATTATGTAATGTAATACTCTGTCTAAAGATAACTRATGATATAATTGTCTTGGGACTTTGAACACTGTCCTACTTGAGAGATATTAATATTTCTTGTGGGAAAAATAATCTGTTTCATTAATGCCCTCTTTACAGCTTTTTTCCTAATACACAAAATATTTTTATTTAAATATATTGATATTTTTGTCTCATAGCTTGTGCTACACTACTGGCTTTTACTAAAAAAGGACATGTTTCTGTTCTTTAGTAGATTTTGCAAGATGGAATCTGAGGACAAATGGTTGACATGGCACCAAAAGGCTCATGCTGGTTTTAGAATCACAAAAATATGCAGTGCTAATAATTTGTATTAGGACACTGCTTGCAATAACCTTTCACTTTCTTGTTCCTCTTACTTGTTTTTCATGGTGCAGAGTCAGAGGCTGCTAAATGCTGTCAGGACTGACATTGCAGGCTGTGGCTCTGTCAGTGTTAGGACCTGTCTGTGTTACTGCACCTAGTTTCAAAAATTAAAACGTTCTCTCTGTGGTCCAGTCCTGCAAACACGGTTGTATTTATGGAGCTGTAAAGACATTGCAGAACTGCTCACATGTTGTTCATGATGATTAAAAAATAGGCTGTGGCCATTCACTCGGAAAATTCTTTAGGCTGTTAACTGTTCTTTCAAGGTAATACAGTGATAAGCATGAGTCTGCTTAATGAAGGCCYGTGTGTACATATTTTGAAAAATGAGAGAAAGGGGTTGGTGTTCCAGAAGTATCACACATTTAGTATTTAAGTTGTGCCTCTTGAAAGGAAAGACAAAGCATCTTTAAAAAATCCTCACATTTGAAATCTTTTGTGCTTCCAGAAGGTGTGCATTTGTATTACAAAGAGCTTCATTATTCACTGGGTGGCATAAGAAATTGGTTGTCCAGTCTCTCTTCACCTTTAAGTTTATGGAGAGTTGCAGATTGGATTAAATGCTTCTTTAAAAAAAAAAACCCAACATGTAAAATAATATCTTTTCAGTGAAAGCCTGGAACCAACTAGGTTGACACCTACTTATAAGAAGAGCATTAAATGAAATCATCATGTGAAAATGCAGCCACAGAATATAGGTGGTAAGCAGTATCTGTTGTTTAAGCTGTGGTTAGAAAGCTTATGAATACAGAGCTGTAGCAGCTTTGTTAACATAATGAATTTTTGTGGTGCCTTGGTGTCATTTAGAATATGTGTATTTATTGTAAATGTATCTTGTTGTCTAAAGCTGAAGAGCACTACAGCTTAATTCCAGTCACAAATTGTAGCTGACAGAATAATAACCAGCAAACCTATRGATCCTTTCTCATTTTTCTTTTTCCAAATCTGCCTGCTGAATTTTCTGTCTCTGGCATGTTTTTATTGCAGATATCTTCAGGAAATCATTAACTGGTTATTCCTGTAAGTGGCACACTCCACAATGACTTTGTTGACAGTCTGTAGGAAGAAAATTCTGTAAAAATAGCAGCTTCTTGAAGTGGACTATGCTATATTTTTGGGATTTACAGTAGGTTCATTAATAATGTCCTTAAACACCGAAAGTGGAAGAAGCAACAAGATTTGCATTTTAATAGCTGCTTAATTAGATCAGTAGCAGGTGATGTATTTCAAGTAATCATATATTTTAGTAGCTAAACATTGAAAATATATTTTTTATGTCCATCTGAGGTTGGTGTGTCCTGATGGAGGCTTTCATGTGCAATATTATTTTTTTCCTGGCCTGTAGGTAGTAATGGGCTGTAGTGAAATGGAACGGAATAATTTCCCTAAAGATTTTTAGTAACAGAGGAAATGATACAAGTAAATCTCTGTGACCTAGAACAAGATATTCAAAATCTGCAATATTGCTACTATTGCTTTAAAAGGAGCTAGGGAAAAATAGCAAATCAGAAATTGGCTTGCAGTGCATACAATCTAATGATAAACTTTGCTACTGTAAAATTGTCTTTTGTTGTCCTTCATCACCATTCTAAGGAAGAGGAATATGAATATTACTAAATCAATTTGTGACAGAAATTTTTGAGGCATTTTTGCTGGGGAGAGTGTGAAGTCTTTCTGAGGTTTACAAAGGTCTAGTATTTGTTACCTATGGCCTCTGGCTTCTGATTCTGTAGCAGCCATATCTCACTAACAGTCATAGCAGGATAATTTCTGGAATTCTGAGCAGGAAGAAATCTATTACAGATTGTTGGATTGCTGGCACATCGAGGAAGATGAGGGTAAATAGTGTGTTGAGGGGRTTGATTATCGGATGCATAAAAATTGGTAATGCTCAATAGAAGGGCAGAAACTGTAAAGCCCTTTATCAGCTGCTGACTTGACATTCAGGTCCCTTTCTGCTTTGTATTAGTACTTCAGGTAAGAGTTTGACACCTCTCATGTGGTCTGACCTTCTGTGAAGGTTTTTATGCCAGAGAAAGGCATCAGATCTTAAAGAGGACATAAAATBTAATTACATTTTCTCTTGACAGAGTATTTCAATAGCTAGTAATCCCTCTAGAAAGAGCATGTCTGTCTTGTGATTAGAACTTCAGTTTTCACGTCTGGGAGAAGAAGAGGGGATGGCTCTGCAAAGAGGTTAGTGGTATCTTAGGTTTTCCAGGTGGAATGCATTTGAAAGTGAAAACCAAACAAAAACAAACAAAACCAAACCCACAAACAAACAAAAAAACACACCCCCCCCCCCCCCCACCAAACCTTTGATATTTTTCAATTAAATACATGGCTTGACTTCCTAAAATCTTGTGTTATACCTGCCTTCCTTAGTCCCCTCACAGACATGCAGTGTTCTTTTAGGCAGGAGATAAACCTCTGTCGCATATTTTTTCACTGATCTACGTACAGGTAAAATCCCCAMTTTATTTGTACACTACTGATAGTGCTTCCAAGGTGAGTGTTACATTTTCTCACATAACACACAGTRTCAAATTGGGATCTTGTGTTCAATTCTCTGTCCCTTATGATCCTTATGCTTTTCTCAGAGTCACTAGTTTTTCACTCTGATGTTTTCCCGGTGTATGGCTTGTATTCCTATGGTATAACTTTGTGGKTTTTTTCCCAGATGTATAACCTGAGATTTGGCTATTAAGAAATAATAATAGTTTTGAACAGTATGCTTTATCATCTGTTCCAGAACTTTTATGTGATGGCCCAGTTCTTTTGTTCATCACAGTGTCAGCTGTTGGGTTGTCCATAAATACGATTAGCAGGGAGTTCATACATGTGTAAACATCTTTGAAGAAAATGTGGAATAGAATTAAACTTGGTAATGGTTCCAGAGCAGATCTCTAAGTGTCTACTGAAATACAACTCCCCTCTAGTTGAAAAACCTCTCTAGCCTATCCTTTCCTACCCTGCTGGGTTTTCTTGTATTTTATCCTGGGTAATTCAGACTGCTCTGCCTACAAATAAYGTGGTGAGTCTCCACATTCTTCTTCAACACTGGTGCAACATAAAGCCCTTCTGGTCCCTTGGGTTTCAGTGGTTTCAATGGTTTCAATTCCCTAATACTAAATGAGTATCAGTAGTAAACATCGATCTTCCAGAGTCCTTGGTGGGGAGTTGTCCACGTCTGCTGTTTGCAAAGGGTGTAATTTGGTTGATGATAATTGAAAATGTCATCAGCTGCAAATAAAGTATGATTTTTTTGCTTCTTAATGCTGTTAGGATCTGTATTTAAGTTGAAGGGTGGTAGTGACAATGTCTACTTGCTGTTTAGCCTGTTCTCACCAAATATATTAAATATTTTTGTGAGAGGATGACTTTAAGTTTGCATGGTTTCCAGAAGAACTCTTGTTTTCTGTCTCTTTGTTAAAAAAGTGTGGCAAGGTTCATTAGCTTTGTGCTAAACCATGAGCAAAGGTAAACATTAAAAATCACGCATGCTTGACTATGCATTGAAACCACYTTTTTTAATAAGTTCTGTGTATGGTTTTGAAGCAGGGAGTCCTTAATTGAATTTCACCAATTAAAAGCAGAAAGAAGAATTCGAGCTGCCTCTCCGGGCTTCTCTATCCAAATTCCGATTGTACGGGGGACTTGAGCTGGCAGCTTCCAGCACAAGGGAACTGCAACAGGCAAATTAAAATTCTTACACTAGAGCAGTGCTGGGACTGACTCAGCTGGTACTTGGCAGCAGTCCTCAGCAGGTCACGCACAGTTGGCTGGAGGCATCCAGAYTGTGTGTGTGTCTCACTAATTCCCCACTTCAGTGGCTTTCCTCCATGCGGGAGCCCCTCACCTCCCTCCTGGGAGTTCGTGCAAGGTAACTTATGAGTAACCCGTGTTCTCCTTGGCTTTTGTGCACCGTGTAAAAAATAATAGAATGATCCAGAGCTGGGCTGTGACTTCTTCCTCT